ACAAAAAATCTAAAAAATATTTTGTCTCAGGATTTTGATGCAGAATGGTGGAGAATCGCCCAAGAAATCGTTTAAGGTACTCCGCTTGAGAATCGGATGAGAATTGGGCAAGATATAGCCATCACTGTGGGATCTATAGGGGGAAACCCCATTTTCAAAAATGGACAAAAAATCTAAAAAATATTTTGTCTCAGGATTTTGATGCAGAATGGTGGAGAATTGCTCTAGAAATCGTTTAAGGTACTCCGCTTGAGAATCGGATGAGAATTGGGCAAGATATAGCCATCACTGTGGGCCCTATAGGGGGAAACCCCATTTTCAAGGGATCCCATCACCAAAAATGGACAAAAAATCTAAAAAATATTTTGTCTCAGGATTTTGATGCAGAATGGTGGAGAATTGCTCTAGAAATTGTTTAAGGTACTCCGCTTGAGAATCGGATCAGAATTGGGCAAGATATAGCCATCACTGTGGGCCCTATAGGGGGAAACCCCATTTTCAAGGGATCCCATCACGAAAAATGGACAAAAAATTTAAAAAATATTTTATCTCAGGATTTTGATGCAGAATGGTGGAGAATCGCCCCAGAAATCGTTTAAGGTACTCCGCTTGAAGATTGGTTGAGAAATGGATAAGATGTGCCCTTCTTAATGGACTGTTGGACGTCCCATATGGTATAAATGAAATTTCCATTCCATTTACAATTTTTGTACAGAAAATATCTCTTTCCAAAATAATGAAAATAACGAAGTTTGAAAAAAACGTACTGCAATATTTTAATGCCAAAAAATTTCAATAATTTATGTTTGGTTGGCTTTTATTGGGTTAATCCCTACGCCATTAAACTCCGAAGGAAACCTGTTACTACTAAATATTTCGGCAACTTTTTGACAAATTAAGTAAGCCAGAAAAATGATTCGATCCCCAGTCACCCCCCAACCGCGGCTTCTTCTCGTTAAGAAATATATATGCCAGATGTATCGAATGCTTTTCTGTTTTCGCACATTTCGGAAATATGTATGTACGTATGGATGTCTATACATATATATTTACGCAAAAGGCCGAAAATCGCAATCGCAACATGTGTCAGTGCCCGGGGGATTGGCGTCTGGCTATGCTCCACTAATGAGAACACAAAATTTGGTCCAGAATGATCGCCACATTTTTGCAGCGCCCCAGTGGAACCACAGAAAATCCGAAATCTTGAAATCTTTAAAATTAAAAATTGAGAAAACAAAAGGGGATCATAAAAATGAACATTGTACATATTCGAGTAAACATTGCGAATATGAGCGTGGCGGTCGAACTTAAAATTCAAAATATGCACCAGCAGACTTGCAAGACAATTGCTTAATAAACGCCAACGGAATCGAATAAGTTTTTATTAGGGCCTGGAAATACTAACAATTGTAAACAATTGAAGGCCATGCGACTCTGGTGACTCATGACTTTAGAAACTCGGTGAGTAATATGAAATGCAAATTTTCTATGTGGAGAGAGAGGATCCGTGCATCCATGAAATGCCTTTAACCGGTCGACTAACGTGTTTCCAATTATGCAAATATGCTAATAACATAGCTCACTCGAGTGATAACCAAGTTTGGGGTACTTTCAGTAATAAGTTTTCAATTAAAAAATATTTGATAAGGAGCAGGAGAACACCCAAGTTGGCGATTGCCTGCCGACTTAATTGCTTTTCGTTGTTGGGCTGCGATTGGCGCTAATTGAAGACAACTTTTTGAGCAGCTGATGGCGGCCACTGGTGGTCAGCTATCTGAGGCAACTGCAACCTGTTCCCTGCTGCCCCGATCCGATGGCCAGCAAGGTTTGTCATTGATGATTAGTCCGGTTGCCCCGGAGAGATACAAGAATCATGCGTACCATGCGCCTTCGTGTCTGGCGTTGTCATTTCCATTTTGTTGATTTTCCTGTTCACTTCGCACTAATCGATTTTTACGACTGCGTTTAGTACAAAGTGCTTCTGGCCCCTGGTTTTATGCATATTTAAAACCCACAAAATATTACGCAACTTTGATAAATTGTTTTCGCTATAAATCGATGGGCTAGAAGTGGGAGCTTTGGCGTGGAATTTGACACGATTAATTAGCCGTATATTTTGCATTCCAAGAATTTTCGGCATGACCCAAATTTTTGGATAGGGAAATTAAGATATTTCAATTACTGTCACTTGACATCAAGTTCAAGTTCAATTAACCAGCGTTCTGGTGCTTAACTTGCCTTTGAAAAATCTTGTGACTCAACTAAGAAATCAGCAGATATCTTAGTCATCTGGTTGGTGTTAGATATTCTTATCGATTCGAAAATCCACTGAATCACCTGTAGATTTTTAGCTTCCAGTCATGAGTCAACTGAATAACATATATTCTAAAGCGAATTGTTTCCCTTTCGGGATAAATATACAACATGAATAATTGACAGATCTATCGACAGATTTAGAACATAAAGCTCTTTCCGGACATCATCTATAATTGATTAACTTTTCGCCAGACTATATTTCAAATTCGCCAGCTCAGGCTAATTAATCAATTTTCCCGTCTAATGGAGTGAAATTCAACAGAAATTGATCGAAATTGTTGGCGCTTTGCGAATAGCAAATAACACGTATACGCCCCGTAGGAAATGAATATATTTCTCCCATCCCCCTTCGATAGAGCGCAATAAGCCAAATTCAATTTGTGCCAAAAAAAAGAAACGTGAAGGGACAAAATTTTACGAAATTGTAACTGTCACTAAATCGAAACGTATAATTGGATTTCGATGCTTTAAAAAGGCTTTAAAATTATGCAAAACGCATTTGAGCTGCAGACACGAACCACGACAGCGATGTCAAGTACAGAAACCACATCTCCGCTGTCTTTGGGCCCCTCGAGCCACCGGCAATTACAACCACAACAATTGAAGCGAAATTCGGTCAGAGCAAAGTAAACCTTGGTCACACTATAAGAAAAAGTGTGGTCACTTTAAAATTCTTCATGAAAAGCATGAACATTGATTTACGAGATTTTACAATTCTGTAACTCATTCATAAAGTGTTTTTTTCTAAAAACTTATTTTATTCTCTATATTTCAGAATTTTTAAAATTAATTTTTAGTCCTGAAAGATTTTATAAATTCATCAGACAATTTAATAAAAATAAATTAATAAACACAACCAATAGACACATTTAACCAGAGCCCCGCAGAGTGCAAAACCACTTTGGGGAGTTTGCTTAAAGCCAAGATTATTGCAAGTGCAGATTTCTTTTGCAGTCGAATTGATGGCTCTGCTGTTTCCTATGCATATTTAATTTTATGCTTATGCTCATGTTTTCCTTATGGAAATTTGAAGACTTCACACAAACGAAAAAGAAAAACAAGCCGAAAACGGAAATACAAGCCGTAAAAATGTTCAGCGAGGCGACATTGGCACTTTGGACTTTGATACGAGTACTTTAATGCAAATTATGCAAAATGTGAGCTGCTGGCATAGTGAAGGAATTCTTCAGACCGATGACAAAGTTCAATTGTATCAAATTGGCAAAAAATAACAGTGGCAGTGAACGAGAAAGAAATAAACACACTGTTTTTAGGCGGCATATTGGGTACGAACGACTCCATCAATCATAAGCATCAATCAGACGGGAAAACTTTGAAGTCTGCGGCATGCCGCACACCACCAACACCGAGGCAAGATGAGCAATTTGTTGGTCCATTTCAATTGGAACACATGCAACAAGCTGTGGGCCAGCAAAAAATTTAAATTTTATTTGCAAAGTGAGTTTGGTTTTAGTTTTCCGCCGAATATTTCACGCAAAGTTCAGCAATTGCATGCCAAACTATTGGCAGGGCTGATCTCATGCTTTCTTGATAAATCCCTCCACCTATTTGTGGCATTATTGTAGCCCACAACTGATGTCACTGCCACTTTCGACCAAATGGTCTCAAATGTGCCCGATTATTAATAAACTGCATGTGCAATGAACAAACAACGAAAAAATGCACAACGGAAATAAACATTTTGTTAGGAAATCATTTTAATACAAATATATATAGCTGATCAAAGTCAAAGTCAAAATGATAAAAAGTGCAACAAAAATATTAATCTTTCCAGGTAATCTTATCTTTAAGGAAGTGCTATTGGTCAAGTTGTATTTATTTAATCCAGTTTTGTGTCTAAAAATACATCCTATGTCATGCACTTTAGACTGGTGACTAACTGCCATGTGGGATGCAGACTATCGAAATCCTCCCCTTCTCAGGCAGTGCCAAAATTTCAACCCAGTCTGCAGATATGCTAACGAGACGACAAACTGAGGAAAGCAGACAAACAGATTTTGGCATGCTTGGAGGGAAGCTATTTCGGGAGCTATTTTTAAGAACAGACAGACCATAAATTGATGGAAGGGGAATCACCCAGAGTTCACTTCGACGGAGCCCAGTTTGGAGACTTTTTCGGGGATTTCGGAAAGAATAGTAATTCCAATTAAAGTAATGCTATTCTCAAAAATCCATTAACTTTTCAAGATTATTATTTTGTTCCCCGACAGATTCTATCTATCATAAGCATCTGACATTGGCACGAAATTAATATCGGATAGTGTATGGTATCATTTCGTGAATTGGGCATCAATTTCACGACGATTTCACACGTATTCGTATAAGATGTCAGATGTGTCAGTACTGTGTCGTTTGTCTCATTAAGCCATTATTTCCGCTTTGTTGCAGACTCACATTCCCGTTTGACACTTCTCAAGAGCAATCTTGGCGGGCGCCAAATGACATCATGGATCGCTCTGCGATCATTATGCATATCAAGACCCGTTCGTATATCTGGGGACTATGATGTGCATAGTGTCGCAGATCGCTCTCAATGACGCCGTCTCCATTAATCACAATCGTTTCGGAGGAGACAACCTCATCAATTGCAGCTATGGGAAACGAAATGGAGGATGAAAGCCCCGCTCCGAGCCGCCCACTCATCCCACACCAAACGAACTGTGTGCACTGGCACGAGGGCGAATTAAAATTTGTTTATAACATATTTCTCGCACGATATCTGATGGTTGACTGAGTAATGTGGTGGTGAGGAAGTCAATCAGTGGGCCAGGCGGTTTGCAGACAATCGATTAAAACTGGTGGTGGTGACGCTAACTGGAATTTTTTGGCATTTCAAGGAAGGCGCGTTCTCCGACGATGACGCTACTTAAGACCCTTGTCCTTGCCGCCGATGTACAGAACCGACCAGGACTTGTCCGGCACAGTATACTCCAGGTCTCGCTTAAAGACGCTAAACATGAGAGGAGAATCTTTAGCTTTCTGATCAAAAGGATAAAGATTAGAGTCCTTACCTTGTGGCCGAGCTGACCATCCGTTGCCGCTGGTGGAGCGGAATACAGGTCTGCTTGGGGGCCGGCTTGAGTTCCAGGGCAAAATCACTTTCGGTGGGGTCGACCAACAGGTCATCACTGGTACTAGATCCGCTACTGCCCCTTCCGCACTTTTCCTCGAAACGAGACGACATGGTTGGCACCGCGCTCGTCTAAACGGTACTTTTATAGGCCGAAAAATATCAAAAATAAGGAAAGCAAGTCGCTTTTTATCCGCTAACGTGCAAATTTCAACAGTCTAAAATTTACACTCCCTAATATCCACATTTAAATGTGACAAAGTGAAGTCTCTAGTCTAGAGCCTAATATTTGATTGAAAATTCTCAGGGCAGCTTTAAATCTAATTGTTTGAGAAAGACAGGAAAATCACAGATCCAGCTAGAAATTAAAAAAAAAAGGTTTTTTCTTCATTTGTATCCACTTTTTAGCTAAAAATGAACACAAAAGTAGGCCACAGTTATAGTATGTGAAGGTCTGTTGGGCAAGCCTACAAGTATGCAATGTTTTTAATCAAGACCATAGGAAGCCATTTTACAAAAAACGAAAATGTCTTCCCAATTCTTAATTTAATGACAGTTTTCGTTCAATATTGTTTTTAGAAGTTGTATTCTTTTGGTAAAAAACAAACCCCAATAATAAAAATAAATCATAAGCATTCCTAAATTTCTCATAAAATGTATTTGTAAGGAAACCAGTCAGCACAGTACAATTTGGAGGTGCCAGGGACTAGAAGAGATGTTATATTTGGAAATGCTGCCCAGGAACATGACTAGTAGACCGTTACTTGCACCACCAGGAAATTGGTTCCCTTAGCAGTCATCCTGCTTATCATATGAATAGGGATCATGAGGGTGGAGGGGCTCTTGCAGATTGAGCCCATGTCCTGGGAGGCCTGGATGTCGTACACGTGGCTGGTACTGACACTGAGGCAATCGACGATCTTAGTGCCCTTAGTGGCCCAGAGGCACAAGGTGGCCATGAGGGGCATGTCGCACGGTATGATGCTCGTCAACCAAATGAAAAACATCTCCGTGTCTCTTCCGGCCTTGATGCACCGGGCAGTGTTTCCATTAGTAGATCCCATCGCCTCGGCCAGATTGGCGCGGGCGGTCATCACCAGGACGGGCAGCAGATCCTTTACCCCGTCGCCATGGGTGGCGATGATCCTGTCCTGCACCAAGTACACCATGTGACACTTGGGCTTGTTCAAGTGTACCATTTTGAAATCCAGGATGAAGGTCTTCGTCTGCCTGATGCCAATCCGTTCCATGGACAGGGTTAGGTGCTCCATCGATAGATGTTTGTTGTAATCGTTCTTGAATGCTGCTCGCCTGCAATTGGAGTCGGGACAAACCAAAGGGCTGTGGGATATTTTCAGTTCCAAACGCTTGTCGTTTTCTTCTAGCAGATCCGTGCTCGTAGTCAAGAGTTCGTTCTCCGTACAGGCCACTGAACTGAAATAGTTTTTGGGGCGTTCCAGGATATGCGGAATTCCCGTCCTTTCCCATTCAATTAATTTTGTCTTCAGCCTTTCAGATGTTGTGGCCTGCAGGCTGGCTCTCTGGGCCGAGCAGGCCACCAGACATACCTCCTTGGGAACTTCTAGCTGTTCTGATCCTTTCAGAACAGGTACTCCGTACACTTTATGTGGCTTAAAATAGGGATTAGTGTAAAGTTCCTTCAGGTACACTTTTCCAGTGTCCTTTTCCTCGGTACTGGGATAGCTGTCTATATCAGTGGATGATTCCAGGGAGCCTAAACTTTGCGGCCACGCAGTGTGGCTTTTCAGTAAAATGTTTAACGATGCGTCCCAATAATTGTTTTCGAAGAGGCCACTGGCCGCAATCGGTGGCACGAGTGTCTGTGGAAGGTGGGCCCCACCTTTCTCCCTACTGTGACGGCTCATCCGGGGAGTCTGGTGTTCGAGGTGTTGAACCTCCTTTCGAGTGGGCTCCTCAAACCTGGACCGCATTCTATCCAGTTGGCTCTTCTGACGGCGTTTTCTCTGCAATGTTCTGTTACTGATGACTCTTGGCAGGCTTGAAGTGGGGGGTTCCGTTTGACTCCGGTGGCTATGGGCCTTGGAGGTTCCTGGGAGCTCCCCATTGATGGAAAGGTTAGTGGCAGCTATAGTTGGCTGCCACCGATCTTTCGAGGCGCTTATATTTGTCAAAGTCTTGGCGGCATCATTGTGTTGATTACTTCTAGGTGGTAGCGAAGTCCGTTCCAACCCTGCCGTGGCCAAATGTGGAGGCGCAGTGGCTCTCAACCGTTCAATGCCCCGAAGTTCGACTTTAGGTTCCTTAGGCGGGGATGGCTTTCTCTTAAGCTGAGTCCTGGGTGTCTCGACCTTTCTGAGCCGCTCCACACTTTTGGGTCTTTTGAACAGATTTAGGGGAGTAATGGGGGGCGGAACGGACTCGTCGTGCAACTCTTCTCGAACACGATCTTTAATGGGCCTCAAAGCGGGAAACCTAGTGAAGGACTGACCCCTAGAGGGAGGATCAACAGCCTGTACCGCCCAGTTGTTGAGGTGAAAGGCCAATCTGGCAGCTTGCTGGTTTTGGGCCCTCGATCGAGAGTTGAAAAGAGCCCGAAGTTTTCCCTTTCCCTGCTGAACCGGAACCGAATCGATAGAATCGACCCATGGAAGACTATGGCAATCCGCCTCGTCAGAATCAGAGCCCGTCTTGCGCTTCATAAAGAAACGCAGCTTCTTGCAGGACGAGCACCAGCTGGTGGCGCCTGAAACGTAGTCCTTCCTCAGCGACTGGATGTCCCCATGACGAAGACTCAGCTTGCTCCGACGACGATTACAGTGAGAACACTTAAACATAATGTCTTTAATTTGGATGTGTTTCCGTGTAACTGCAGTGTATGTTTTTTTTTGTGTGTGCTCCAATGCTGGAGACACATACAAGGAATTTGAAGAGTCTCTTCCAAATAGTGTGAACTGTATGAAAGTAGAAAGTGTAACAGGTGCCTTCATTTCCCCCCAGTCAGGCAATTATTCGAAAAGCCTACTTGGCTGAGGTCAAGATTGAAATAGGTCCCTGGAAGCGTTTCAAAAGACTACAACTCTTAGGGGAATCAAATACAAATATTTCCCACAGTACTTTGTTGGTTTTCCGGTCCGGCCCCTGAGATGAACGGTCACATGCTGGACCCATTGATTGACCGTGAAATCCAAAGTCGAAGGTCGCCAAGGGGACGTGCAAAAGTAAGCAAAAAACCGTATTTGGGGAAACCTTGGTCGCCAGCCCAGCCATGCTCCAGTTTATACGCCTCGAGCCGGAGCTCTCAAAATCAATTGAGATTGTCAAACGCCCCGTCAAGTGCCACCTGTCGGCGAGCGAAGACACAAATAAAGAGAAAAGTATTTCGAAAACTATTAAAAGCGAGTCGTAGAGTGGTGAAGCTGGTATACTCTCAAAATAAATAACAGGTCATAGATATTATAGTTAATTTTTAAAAAAGAAATTAAAGATACATAGCTCTAGGCTTAAACGATGAAGTGCTTATTATAAGGTATCTAAGCTTACTTACAAGTACACAAAGTTTTTTAAATAAATTTATTAATTCTTCCAATGCCGTCTTTACTTAAAATATTGTGTCTCAATTGGCAAATACATATTTTAAATAAATAGATCCACCTTCTTAATAATAGGTACCCTAATTATATGCCTCAACCTTTGTTTTTTTTAATTTTATTTATAGATTGTTTATTTATTTAAGTTTCTTACTTCCTCGTAGGCTCCATAAACCCTCAGCTAGGGTAAAAATGGCAAAAAGCGGCTTAAACTGAGACCAATTGAGGCTTCGCCATGGCTTAAGTTTACTCGGATCGGATCGGATCGTATTGGCGGCCAGTGGATGGTGATGGTGATTCAGCTCGAATACTCGAATGTTTGTTTGTTTTTTTGTTTGTTGAGATGCGCCAAACGGCAAACGCCAAAACCGAAACCGGCGACAAATCAGTGGTCTGAGCAAATAACGGAACCCGGCTCCAAGCCCACAGCCGGCCCAACTGAAGGTCTCCCCACGAACTCTTCTCGCTATAAAAATCACCTCGTCCATCCAAGCCGACATCAGACGTTCCACAGACGAACAATTAACAAGATGGTGAGTAGTTTGGAGGGAAAGTTAAGGATAATGAAAGGACTAAACAAGATGGTGGTCATTTGTAGAAACTCTTTGCCCTGACCTTTGCCCTGTGTGCCTGCTTGGCTGCCGCCGATGTGTCCCACCTGCAGCCCGGCAGCAGCTACCTGCCACCTCCGCGTCCGGAGCCGGCCATCTCCATGAGCATCGAGCAGCAGGAGCTGCGCGAACTGCCCGAGCAAGTGGAGTACATGCGGATGAACAAGCAGGGTCAGATGGAGGCCATGCCCGCCAGTCTGCTGACGCCTCCTGCTCCGGAAAGCGAAATGGAAGCCATGCCCTCTACTCGCTATCTGCCACCCTCTGCTCCGGTTCCAAGCCAGATGAATGTCGAGCCCATGGAAATGATGGCACCCGAACAGCCGGCCATGGAGCAGCTCCAGGCCCAGCCCCAGCTGGCCATGCGCTACCTGCCCCCTGCTCCCCAGGAGAACCAGCAACTGACCTACCAGCAGTACCAGGAGCAGATGGAACAGTTGCAGATGCAGCAGCTTCAGGAACAGCCAGAGGAGTCTCAGCCGGAACAGCCCCAGCAGCAGGCTGAGGAACAGATGCCTTATGTCCTGGATGTCCAGCAGCCCATGGCTCCCTCCGATGCGGAAGCCCAGCAGCCACAGGAACCTGAGCCAGCCCACGAACTCCGCGCCGACGGCTACCACTACAAGCAGGCCGAAGAGCAGCTCCGTCTGAGGCATTAGCTCACCCAAAGCTGAGTCACCTGATGACGATATCGCGAATTCCGGGCATGCGTCATCGAATTGTTGAATGTTTCTAGTTCTAAGTTTTACGAGACCGATTAAAGTTTGTTTTGTTAGAGAGCTCTTGTTTTAAAATAATGGATGGATGAACAAGAAAACTTCTTTTTACGGAAATAAGAATATCTTGTTTAATGGTTTCATCATAAATTACTATTATAGTTTATTTAAAAAGTTAAGTACTATATTGAAGGAATGATTGGAAACCTAGATGGTACTAGGCCTAGAATATTATTTCTAAAACAGGTAATATATTCTGTATCCTTTGAATAATGAATAAATTACTTTTTCCAAATTAAATGGATCCATTATAATAGTTCTGTAAACATATCATTCTTTAGGAAGACTCGTCTTCAAACTAAAGATATATCATAATTCACATTCATGTATGGTTTAGAAAAGATTCTTAAAAATGACCGATACTGTAGCCGAAAGGACCGGCATCTACCATAGATGGTCCCACCGTCCTCCCAACGAGTCCTCCAAATGGCTGTTGCCTCGGCAGGATGTGCCATTGTGGAGCAGACGTAGTCATCGGATTGCAGCTGGAAGCAGCCTCACTCCGGACTTGGCCAAGTACAAGGACTTCCATGTAGACATCGCGGGTCGTCTGTGGTCGCTCTGGGGCAACCTGCATCCGGAGGCGGCTGTCTTTGAAAAGCGGGTGAGGGGCCGCCAGTACCTAGCCTGCTGTGTAATGGCCTGTTGCGCAGCCAGTGCTTACCCCCTGATGGACTGGAACCCCCATCTTCTGGACACTATTGTGGTCAGTGGAAGCCAGTACTTTAAAAGGAGCATTATGGGAATGGAGAGGGTGGACTATGAACTCTCCCTGGAGAATCTGGATACCAAGTGTACGATGGATTCTCTTAAATTCAAGATCCACATCGAGCACGTGGCCTACGGAAAGCTCTACCGGGTGCCCACTCTGAACAAGATGAACCTCTCCGAGGCACTCATCTTCTTCTTCAACCACTACCAGTTTGGAGTCCTGACCGTGAAGAGGAGAGCCCTGGCCATAGGCCTCTGCCCTGGGCAGAGTGGCGGGTACTTTATGTACGATTGCCAGGAGAAGGACTTCCCCCTGTTTCCCCAGCACCAGGGAGCATCCTACGTACTGCGGACTTGTAACCTACAGGAGCTGCTCTTCCACGTGGTGGTCACCTTGAATATTCCCTTCCCGAATATAAGTTTCAGTATCCACAACGTGAACGTTGTTTGCAAAAACATGGCCTAATCATTAATTTATTTTAAAAAACAATTCCTGTTTAAATAAAAAATACCAAAAAATCCCAATATTCTCAATTGGAGATTTTATTATTCCTATTTCCATTTATAAATTCCAAAAAATAAACTATTACTGAGCCACTCGACGATCCGCCACTACAAGTCCACCCTAAAACTGGGCCTCCTCGGCCCCGCCCTCCTCCTCCTCGTTCTCCACGGTGGCGCCCTCGCGCAGCATCTCCACTTTGTGGATGCTGAAGTCGATGTTATAGAAGGGCACGTTCAGGGTGACCACCACGCAGTAGAGCAGCACCTGGAGGTGGCGGGTGCGCAGCATGTAGGAGGCGCCCTGCTGCTTGGGGAACAGCGGGTGGTCCTTCTCCTGACAGTCGTACATGAAGTACCCGCCGTCGTGGCCCGGACAGAATCCAATGGCAAGGGATCGCTTCCGAACACTGACGATTCCGAACTGGTAGTGGCTGAAGAAGTAGATCAGCGCCTCGGAGAGATTCATCTTGTTGAAGGTGGGCACTCGGTAGAGCTTTCCGTAGGCCACGTGCTCGATGTGGACCACAAAGTTGATGGTGTCCATGGAGCAGTCGATGTTGAGGTTCTCCAGGGAGAACTCGTAGTCCTCCTTGGTGATCTGGTCGATGCTCTCCTTGAAGTAGGTGTTGCCGCTGACCACGATCGTGTCGAGGAGGTGGGGGCTCCAGTCCATCAGCCGGTAGACACTGGCTGCGCAACAGGCCATCACGTAGCAGGCCAGATACTGGCGGCCACGGACATCGTCCTCGAAGACAGGCGCCTCCGGGTGCAGGTTGCCCCAGAGCGACCACAGCCGACCCTCGATCTCCACGTCGAACTTCTTGATCTTGCTGACCGGCAGGTTGCGGTACCTGCCCGCCGTGTTGCGGCGGTTCAGCCTGCTCCACACGGGTAGGCAGTTCTCCAGCTCCAGCCAGCCCAGGGACTCGTTGGTGGCGCAGATCTCGTACTCGGGTCGGCCGTACTGCTTATTGGAGCAGGTCATGGGTATGGAGAGATCGGTGAGGAGCTGCAGGATCCTGGCGTTCGGAGCCGCCTTCTTGTGCGACAGCACATCAACCACGAAGAACTTGTACTGGTTCTTCTCCTTCCAATCCTTTGCGCCCACCCGCTCGTCGATGTACTTCAGAAGCATGTCCACATCGTACAGGAGCACCCAGGAGGCGGTGTTCCTTTCGGGCCACCGCTTGGGGCCCTTGGGACAACGCTTCTTTTTCTTGCCGCCCTCCTCATCGCCTCCGTCGTCGTCCTCCTCCTCCTCGTCACCGCCTGGCTTCTCCATGCTGCCGTAAGGGTCAAAGACGTGGAAGAACTCGTCGTGGTAGATGGCATAGCTGCCGTTCGGAGTGAAGAGGATCATGTACTTGCGGACGTTCAGCAGCTTGCCGAACTTCTTCTTGAAGATGGTCAGGCCCGCCTCCGGGGAACCTGCTTTCTTCATAGGGGTGGGAACCCACATGCCAGCGGGCTCGAAGCATCGGATCCAGATATCGAACTCGTAGTCGTCAATGGTCACGTGACGGACCACCCGCTCGAACACGGACTCCAGTTCACAGACCCTGGAGGCGATCGCCTTGGCATTGGTGATAACCCGATCGATGCGGTAGGAGTTCCATTGGTTCAGAGGCCGCAGGGAGCAGCTGACGATGGCCAGGGCGGATGCGAAGTAGCAGGGCTTGATCTCCTTGAAGCTTCCCTCCTCACGTCCCTCGAGCGCCTGGCTGCCCTGGATCTTGAAGTTGCAGTCCTTCTCGCGCATCCGGTAGCCGAAGAGGATCGGACGCGGCTTGTAGGGCTTGCGCAGCTCCTTGGGCAGCTTCTTGCCGGGACGGTGCTTTAGCTCCACCTCCTCCTCGCCCTCGGCCTCCTCCTCCTCGCCTTCCATGTCGGGCTCTTCGTCCAGGCCCTCCTCGCCCTCGCCTTCATCGATGCCAGTGTCGCGGTATTCAGGTTTGGCTGAAATTTTGAAATAATTTTTAAGTTACAAGGTCGAATAAAAAGTGATGAATATTACAAAGGATATGTGGTCTTGAAGGATAATAAATAATCGGTGCTATGACTCTGATACTCACGCTTCTTGCCCGCCTTGCGGTCCAAGTGATCCTGCTTGGCTTTGAGGAACATCTGGATGCGCTCGTTCTCCTTCTTGAGCTCCTCGTCGATGTAGCGCATCTTCTCCAGCCGCGCTTCCTTGATCTTCTTCTGCCTGGCGGTCTCCAGCTTGACGTCCTTGTCGTCCTCCGCCTTGCCATACGGCCGGAACCTGCCATGTATGTTGTTGTCGACCATCTGGATGCTGGCCACGATGAAGTTCATCACGGAGCAGCCTTGCGGATTGCACCCGAACTCTATGCGCTTGATCAGGGCATCCAGTTCCACGAACCGGAGCAGACAAGCAGGTCCTGACCCGCCCTTCCTGTAGCCGATGGCGTTGCATGGGAATCCAATGAACATGTAGACGAAGTTGTATCGCTTGAAGATGACACAGGAGAAGCGCTGGCACACCAGGAGCAGTCTGTTGCCGTCGCTCAGGAGATCCACCAGGACCTGGCGCAGTGGCACCATGATCGAGGACTTTACCACCTTCTTGACCTCCAGGCTGAAGTTGCTCTCCCCGATGGCGATGTCCGGCAGCTTCTTGGCCAACAAGCAGGCCAGGATGTACTCGTAGTTCTGGTAGTCATCGCCGAAGCTGTTGGCCGACTCCAAGGCAAACTCTATCAGCTCCGAATTCCAGGTGGAGAGCTTGTACTTGGAGGACACCGCCAGGGCTACCAGGCCGGCAAGAAGGCCGCCCAGCTTGGCCATCTCCTCATCCAGCTGAGGGAGCTGGGTGGTTCCGACGATGATCCAGGATCCGTCTGGCAGGGCCTTGAAGTTGCTCTTGAGCGCCACCTCCTCCTCCACGGTGAGGACCACCTTCTCGTCCTCCTCCTCCTGGCCCAGCTCGTAGCCCCGCTTGATCTTGAGCCGCAGAGCCCGGAGATTCTCCTGATCCGAGCGCAGGAGCACCTGCTGGGCCGGCTTGTAAAGTCCAGGCCTCTTGGGTTGTGGTTCTGGCAGTTCCTTGATGATGTTGTTGATGATCATGTTGATCAGGTCGTCCACCATTTCCTTCTCCTCGACCGTCGGGAACCGCTCCTCCTCCGGAATGCTCTCGATACTCTTCTTCTGCCTCAGCTCGGGCGGCGGAGGTTCGTCCGTAAACGTGGGCAGGCCCATTTGGAGTGCGGGGAACCGGTTAGTCTGCGGAGTCATCACCTGCAGGGGTCGGATGCAGCCCGTCCGGATCCCGTGGATGAAGAACTTGCCACCACGTCGCATCTTCAGGGCGTTCATGTAGATCACCCGCACAAAGGAGTCGAAAGTGGAGTGAATCTGGAGGACGGCCAGGCCCTTGATGGTGTAGTCGTCGGGGTCGACCACCAGACCGATGCGGTTCCTCCTGAAGGGATCGAAGACGTAGAAGAACTCCCTGTCCCGCCACAGAGCCAACACCGAGTTGTCGATCTGGAGGAGGGCGGCGGGCCACTGGGGCATGTTGAAGAGCTGGTGCAGCGCCATGGTCAGCTGGGACTCCAGATAGTTCTTGCAGTCCGCCACATGACCGTTGATCATGAACGGGTGCTTCCGAACCGTGGCCTTGAAGGCGCCCATCAGGAACATTTCCGGCAGATCCACCACATTCAGGTGGGGCTTCTTGTTTTTCCACCGCTTGCCGTCCAGCCTGAACTTTTTCCGCAGGGTCTTATAGTAGGCCACTCCGTACCTGATGATGTCGTCCACCGTATCCGGCTTCCAGAGTTTGGCCAACTCGAATTCGGCATAGATGAGAGCTATTAGGGACACCACCAGGGAGGCGTTCTTCTCGTTTCCGGATATCGGCTGGTGGATGCCGCCCGACGCCGCCGTTTTAACCGCAAAGTTCTCGTTCACCACCGCCCAGAGTTTGTGGTACTCCTCGTTCTCCGCAGCCTTGATCTTGGGCTCCTTCAGTTTCCCGTACTGGGAAAGCGATATCTCAAAAATGTTAAACTCGTCGTTGGGCTTCAGGTCACTGAACTTGGTGATAAGGTGGACCAGATGTTCGGTGTATCGGGTGGCCATCAGGGAGCACTTTCCATCCTCGAAGTCCCGCTCGCAGTGATCGTCTCTGCCGTTGGGGTCGAAGATGTAGTAGGAGTTGAGGCAGCGCTTCCAAATCAGTAGAAACAGGTCCCTCGATGTGAATATGCAGGCATTGTATTTGGAGAAGAACAGCGACAGGGCCTTGAACATGTTTGGTTCGTTTTTCAGAAGTCCGGAGAAGTGGATTTTTATTTCCACGGAAGCTTCCCGTTCCGCCACCTGGGTAATGATATCGAAGTCGTTCTCCTCCGACTTGTAGTTCAGGCTGGCACTCTTTTTGGTTAGCTTGACTCCACGCTTGAGGATTCCGTCCATGGTGGCGCCCGTCCAGAAATCCGGGTTGAGTCGAAAACTCTCCACAAAGGCCACAATTATGGCCCCGATCTCGCTGGGCCGATTATAGTACCTGTTAGAATGAAAATATGGTTATGAAAATATCCAAAAATAGAATCCCGATTACAAACTGTAGTCGGTAGGATTCCGCCTTGGGTTCCGGATAAATATTACGATTTCCAAACACAATCTCAGCCGTGAAGGTCTTCTCCAGCTGGGTGGGTATGTTATAGAGGGTGAGTTGGCCGTCGCCTTCTGCAATTTTTTTTTGGTGGAGCTAGATAAGTGAAATGGTCCAATCCTGATAGTTGGTAGGGGGGGTATACGCACCATATCTTGGCAAAGAGGCGGAGATGAACTGCTCATCCAACTCCTCTTCGCGCTTCTGATACCCGACGTTCCAGGTCCACAGGTCCTGGGGACTGCAGCCCTCGATCAGGTCAAAGGTCTTGATGTTTTCGCCATCCAAGGCCTCTTGCAGGACCCGCGGATTGTACGAGGGAAAAGGTAGCTCTTCTAGGGGACCCACTTCCGTCTCGTTCAAGTAGATGCGACTTTTGGGACGTTTAAGCTCAAGCTGTTCATGGGGAAAGGTAGTACAAGGTATAGAATATAGGTTGTTTTATAGTTACTAAGTTATAGTACTTAGGTTAACATCAAGTTTATAAAGTATCATTTTGTGGGTTTTATGGGGCTTAGATATAATGGCTTAGCTATTAGTATTATCTAAGTAAGCCTCTAATATGTACTGATTCTAGAAATAAAGAAAACTTTATTATTCTTTCAGTGTAACTTTTTAAAAAGGTAAAACAAACAAAGCCTAAGAAGGTCTCTGTGCAATATTTGTTTGAAAATGAAATCCTAATCCTAATTTTCAGATTTATTTAACATAAGGAGTTAGGTTCTTGGTTAACCCATTTGAAGTAAAAACCCAAGCCAAATTATAACACATATTTTAAATTCCTACTTCTATTATTAAAGAAATCTTGAGCATTCCTTATTTGGAAGTGTAAATATAACCCAAAACCTAATTAGGACCCTGCATTATTAAATAGTAAAGTGGTTTCAGTTGACGATTGTGTAACATATGGCCAGTTATCGGCGCTTGGCTCTGTGCAAGCTCTGTGCTTTCACTTGGCAAGGGGCGACGGACGACGGACGCGGACGCGGGCCGGACGACTCTCGTTCCTGGCCATAAGCTTTTAATGCGGCTGAAAATAGCACGCATACGCCACCGATGCCCGATGCCCGTTGCCCGATGCCCAAGGCCCGACGCCCCTATTTAGAGTGTCGTCTGTACGGAATGGTACGAGGTGTGGTGTATGTACGTTAGAGGCCTGTTTTGTGCCCCAGCAGCGTTGTTTTTTCTTTAGTTTTGCTTTTCTGCGCTCATCAAGAAGTTAGTAAGCGGCATAAGGTAAGCACGAAATGCCAACTAGACTGACTATAACGACCTGATGTCGTCGCCGTTTGTGTGCCTGCTGTATGGCTGTGTGAGTGTGGTCGTGTGTGGGTAGGAGTGGTGGTGAGTGTGTGCGCCTCTATGGCTCGCTGGCCACGCTGATGGCCGCTTCCAATGCACAGAGCAGTAAACAATGAACAGCGCTTAGTGCCACATCACGGAATCTTATCGCTCTCGTTCGACACAAAAACCCAACCAAACCGAGAACCGAGAACCAAAAACCGAAAACCGAAAACTGAAAACTGAAAACCGAAACCGAGACAGAGACCTAAGTACAATAAAAAAAATACAACAACAAGAGACCCGAACGAATACGAAGCTGGCTCGGCTGCAGAACAAACAAGTCATCTAGCGTGCTGCAACAACAGCAAGAGCAACAAAAACAACACCAAGTACAGCACATAGCAGCCGCCAGGTGAGCCAGGTGAGCGGCGCAGTATCGCGCAGTTATAGCATACGACCACGTCAACACCAATACAAGCGCAGCAGGAACAACGCTGTTGCCAACAAAAGCAAAAGCAACACTACGCAACCCTCTTACGACCGGACCCCGTTGGCAGAATGTCAGACTGTGCTAGGCAGGGTTAAGCAGCCCCGGGGGAGCCGGGCCCAAGCCCAAGTAAGATCTCACCTCAGACAGGTGTTTCCATGTCCGAGACTCTTAATTTCCGAATCAATAAAACCAGACCCTGGCGAGCAAAAATAAAAAAAGGAATCGGCTTTCGCAATCAAACTCAAGGCACCTGCTGCTGCTGCTGCCCCAAAGATGCTGAGACCGCAAAAGCTAACTCGCTGATGAATTGGAATGCGATTTCAAATTGGTATTTGACAGGTGCAGCCGGCTAACAGTCCCCACACACACACAGATAGAGATACAGAAAGTCAGAATGTGCAAGCAAACAATCGACGCCCCTGAGAAACAAGGGCGTAGTGGTTAAGGGAGAGTCCCCAAAGAGGTATAAGGAGGGACTCCAAGGGCATTCTTTATTAGAATAAAATATAATATTATTATCATTAAATTGGTCTCTTATCCTTAAACTATAATGTCTTATAAAGGATATCAATGTTAATAGTATTTCAAGACAAAATATCAATAGTTTCTATAGGAATTATCTTTAAAAGATCTTGAATATTAAGGATTATCTTCAATATAGATCCCAATATATTAATATGATCTCAATGGGAATACCCTCCTATCTTTTACGAATCAGTGGGGGAATGGTTTTATATGTCTATTGATAACAGGGCACCAAACCCCAATGGCACTAAACATTGGAGCATTCTTATATCAAGAACGTGTATCAAACGAACTGTTCGGGCACTCAAAACTCTAAAGAGTAGACAGGCTCTTATCTGGGACGCAAAGTTAATTAGCTTAGTGCGGCAAGATAGAGCGAAAGGTTTCGGGAGAGTCCCCAGAAATCACATTTTAATCGTTAGCCGAGCATGCAGGGCGAGCACAAGTGAAGCCATTGCCACCCCCTCCGGCCATTGCCTTCGGCCATACACGCCCCTCCCGCCCCCAGGCAACACCAACAACAATCGAAACATAAACAGCACACAATGCACTCGTAACGCCAAGTCAAAGGCAAACTGTAAAAAAGAGAGAAGCGACCGACCACTAAACCCACTACTTTTGCATATGTACCTCGCAGTGCACTATGCTGTAAGCCAAGTGCAGTGCCAACAGCTGCGGTTAACAAGATATGAGCTACTGAAGAATATATATTTAGTTCTTATGGGGTTTAAATAGAATCTGTTAGAACGGTATACATTTATAAAGCCTACAAAGCTTATCATAAAAATTACGTATTATTTTAATTTGTTTTCTATAATAAAATTTTCTTATATAAAGCTCATTAATTGCCTAATTTTTGGCGTCTCTACTTTTTTAATTATATATACTAATATGAATATATACGTATTTTGGCTAATGATGATTAAGAGTCAGCTAAAATTTAAAGAAAAAAGGACTAAAAACTTCTCTAAATAAAGCAAATTAGTATGTTTATGTGCCAATTTTTAAAACTCCAAACAGTATTTTGAAAAGCTAAAAATATTAATAAAAACTTTGAAAGAACTTCAAAAGAAACTCTAATTTTTTTCAACCATTAGCCAATATTAATCAAAGCCAACGAGCTTATATTATTTGAACCACCACTGTGCAGAACCGTAACAGCTGGCAATGTCGTCTGTGTTGCTACAACGACAAAAGCAACAAACTGCATGCAAACACCACCCAAAGCCACAGCCAGAGCCAAATCCAGCGCCAGAGACCATAAGGGACCAGTGAGCATAGTGAACCGATTTTATTTCATGCGGAGCCAGCCAGCGAACGGGCGCGTACGAACGCACACAGAGAAGGCTAGAAAGCGCGGTCGGCCGCAAGTTTTATTTGTTATTACTCAGTAATTGTTAAAATATCGCCACCGCAACAACAAGCCCGTATTCAGCAGAGGTCTATACGCATACAGGCATTTGGAGCTACCCAGAAACAGCTCCCATAATGACTAATAAAGCACTTTAAAGCACTTCAATGGCCGCAATGAATAATGCTTTTAATTATTTTCTTGTATTTCTGTAGAAAGCTTCAAGGAATTCTATCTCTCTCATTGGAATCTGAAGACTACTAGAACGGGAGGCCCAACTGGCTTCCGGAAAGCTGGCGCGCAGATCAGCTACAAAGAGACAATTCTCCGAAGAACTAGTTTGAATTCTACAAAAACAATTGCAAAATGGCTACTATAGCGGCATTGCCAACGGCGACGTTGCGGCGCAATAGCAATAAAAACAACAGCAACAAGGGGGTAAGTAAGAACTGGAAGCCTTTAATGTTAACTTGGCCCTTAAGCGATGCGAGCGGGGTGGATTTTACAAGTTGAGACACTTTGGGCCGTCGCCAGGCTGGCAGACGCGTGCCTGAAAGGACAAATATACAAATTAACACCAGAGGACAAGACAATAGCATAGAGTTTTTATATTATCATATTCGAGGCCTTAAAAGAGAGTTTTTCAAAAACTTAGTAAAGCTTAACATAGAACTTTATCTTTAATAAAGAAATCAACATCTAAGGGTCTTTTTGAGTGGGATTCTTTCTTTTTTTCTTTCTTTTTTAGACCTCTAGGAATAAATCTATGAAATCATATGATATTTTTTGATAAATCACTATTATTATGACCATATCTCTACACAAAGCACTTGCACCCTACAATATTTGCACTTTAGAGTAAATAATTTCGCACGCAAGCCCTGTGCTTTACAAGGACTTCCACTCCCATTAATCATTTTACTATCCCTAGGCCAAATCGCGACGGAATGAACGAAATATCCTTACGTTTTACGAAAAGATTGCCGTGATCCGGTACTACGACGAGACCAACATCTCGAGGAATAGTTTGGCCAAAATGTTCCACTGCTGTGCCACCCAAATCAGACGCATCCTGGACAAGAAGAAGGAACTGCTCCAACAACTGGCTACTCTGAGTGAAGCGGATGCCTCCATAATAATCGAGGAGATGACCCGGAAGCGTAGAAAGTTTGAAATGAGCGCCATAAGCTTCCTTTTGAGGGAGTGGGTGGAGAGATGCAGGCAGCTACATCTGAATATCAGTATCACGAACCAGAAGCTCAAGGATACTGCTCTGAGAATGGCTGCCATATTGAACCTCCCGTCCTTCCGACCCTCCTATCGCTGGCTGAACCGATTCCGTGGAAAGTATAAATACGAAGGCGATGAACTGGGTTACCAGGGAGAGAGTCCTGTCAACCAGGACCTGCCCGTGGAGGAGATCATAGTGGAGTTTAAGAACGCGTTGCCCAACTTTATGCAAAGGGAATTGTCAGACACACCTGAGGGGGTCAACGTTGCCGACTTGGTGAATCTCTCCAGTGAGAACAGCTTGATGTCAGATCACCAGGACGAAGAGGATGAAGTTGTGGAAGTGGTTACTTGTGAACCCAGTGTCTTACCTTCCCCACCTACTTCTTCGGAGAAAGGGGAAGAGGAACTTTTCCTGAAAGAGGAGGACCTTCCGTCCGAGGATCAAATGAACGCGGGGACCAGCACCCTGCTGAATGGAGTCTTTCCCCACCTGGCCATCATCCACCAGTTTGCACTGATGAACTCGGACATCCAGGCCCTGGAGCTGATCTCCCAGCTGGGGGTGCACATGCAACAGCAGGCCATGTCCGGGGCCTATGGAAAGCTGTCGCTGGCGACGGAAAGTGAAGGTGGCCCTACCACTCTGCCGGAACTTCCTCCGGGGAGCATTTATGCAGACATAGACGATATAGAGTTGATAGAGTAGAGGAATATCTAAAGGAGAACCTGACTTACATATAATGCCATATTCTAGTTAAGATAAGAGTCTATAACTAAGAGAGTCTAAATCTAAGAAACTATAGAAACTAGATGTAAGAGAGTTCATATTAGAAGTCGGATCAGTTTAATTCTAATGGATTTAAGATTAAGATTTATGTTAAATAAGTTAAAAATAAATTAAAGAATTTAATTTAAAGTTTTTAATTGGAATACTATTTCATTAACTCACCATACGCTTATCCGGAATAATGATCATATCCGAGCTACAGTCCGGAGTGGCCAACTGAGGCTTAACCTCCGTCTCTTCCTCCTCATCGCCCTCCTCGTCCTCCTCCTCCTCGCCCATGTCCATGGGGCTGTTGAGCACCACCAGATCCCTAGCACACACCCTCTTCTGACGGGCATCGTGCTCGACCAGGCCGAACTCCTTGCGAGCCAGGAGCAGGCGCTCGCGCATCTCAGCGTTTTCCTTCAGCTCGGCCGGAGTGCGTTGCGGAATGATGCACATGGTGTATTCGTCGTACAGGGCGCACTTCTTTTTATAGGGACGGATGAACCGGGACTCTGCTGACTTCTGGTGAATCCTGCGCAGCTCATCCTCGATGGTCATCACCTGGGAGATCGTGGAATTGGGCGCCCTCTTCTGGCAGACACGATCGCGAGGCGGGCAGAACTCTGCCTTCCACTCCGGAGGGTTTTCATTGCCCAGGTAGGTGCGCACCTCGTACGGATTGGCGGAGGGGCTGCAGTCCGCATTAACTTCCACGAATTTTTTCAACATTTTTGCAAAACACTAACGATTTTGCAGGGTTGGAATAAAATTAACGACTAATTTTGTAGCAGGGCACGTTCTTTGCGTCTCCAATAGATCAAGTGATTTAGGGAACCGGAATTGGGACTAAGATATAAAGCAAGGCTTGCTGATTTATTTAGAATCTTTCAAACTTTAAAAGTTTCCGTTTTTTTTAATATATTTTAAATTCCCCGCCATAGTTTCAGTTCACAATAGCTCTTTGCTGTTGGGTACCTCCTCTAGGCGTTACCGCACTTTTATGGTCTGGCCACACTTGCAGTAAAAAACAAATCAACGTTGATGCAGCTTCAAACAAAGAGGAAATTTAGTTTCTAGTCCGAGAAGACGGGCTACCAAAGATCAAGATGTGGATTCAGCCCAAGGAGCTGCTGCTGCCATCGGCATTCTGGTGAGGATTCAAATAAATTCCAGGCTGAAACGGATAAAAGCCGATTCCGCTGATTACCGTGCCCTGAAACTGGGAGTGTGTGTGTGACGGCATGTGTGTATGCATTGTTATGTTTATGGAAGGTGTCTCGCGTAGAGCGATTTTCACGAAATGCACCGCAAAAGAACGGCTCCGATCGTGTTCTCGAGCTGCGCATAAACTAGTTAGTGGCTTTAGTTAGTTTAATTGTGCTGTTGATAACTAATTAAGCAGAGTTCAAGTCGCCAAGGCGGCTCAGCAGAACGCAGCTCTTCGCCGTTCGGCGGCTCTGATTTCGCAACGGAAAAACAAAAACAGCTGTGCAAAGTCAGCAGAAGCTTGGAAATTGATTTCCAACTGTTTCCTGCTGCGTAGAAAGGTCCCCCACAAGCTACACGTTTATGCGTAGAGTTTCGTGAACTCGATACCCTGCCATGTACCCTGCAATTGGGATTAATTTTAGATATTTAAAACTCTACTTAATTTAAAAACAATTCAAAGCTACACAAAAAAAACTCTTATCAGTTAAAAAATGTAATCCAACATTTTCTAAATGTGTAAATATTCGCACATATTTTGAGATAATTAATATAAAAATAAGAGTAATTGAAAAAAAAATCACAGAATAACTCATGCTTAACCCACATTTAAAAAAAAATAAAAGCTATGACACATAACCACTCATGTACATCCCCTCCCCACAATTTGCCCACTCAGTGGACTAACCAAACTTGTTTCCCCACAGGATTGCCGAGATGCAGTCTAGGTACTTTGTCCTGCAGAAGCGCCGTGGCCACGGAGAGTCGAGGGGATTCGGCTCCATGTTGGTGGGCACCTACGACAGCGTGTGGAACACCAAACCGGCTCCGTATAGGATTCTCCACGAGACTCCCTCGTCGGAGGTGTCTTATGGTAGGTTCAAATATTGAAACAGTGCGCGGGGCTTTCCGTCTTATCGGTTGGAATGAGACTCGTGGGAGGCGGGTCTATGGCCAGCAATCTGTGTCCATGAATCATTAATATATCTGCACCCATATGGGAGTATGCCTATTTTTTAATTTCATTATTTTGCTCCCACCGGCCCCTCGAGCAGCTTACGTAAACGCGGAGCGTGGCAGATTACGATTATTTCCTTTGTCGTTTCATGAAGAATCGAAAACGAAGTCTGGCTTCAGGGAACAAAGCCATGTTCGACCTTGTACGATAATTAATTCAACGCAGCTTTAGAATATAACAATACTTTAGCAGTACCTTTTCATAATAATCTTGATGCCCGTTCCAGAAATCGCTATTGGCATTACCCAGGATGAGATCATCAAGGACTGGGAATGGCTGAAGGCCAACCTGTTCAAGGTGCTGGACGAGATGGAGAACGAAGACGAAGTGACCAATTTCACCATATGCAAGATCCAATCTCTCTACACCCAAAACAACCAGGACGACACTGGGGAATCGGCCGACTTCAAGGTGATGAAGTCGCAGTTCACGAAGATTTTCAAAATGCCAGAAGAGGAGCGACTGGTCAACTCCTACTCCGCCACGTAAGGAGGGAAAGCCACGGGAAAGCATAAAACTTATTCAGTTTATCGTTTTAGATATGTGAAGAACAAGATTCCCCGGCAGGGCCAGCTCTACATTTCCCTAAACCATGTCTGCTTCTACTCCTACATGCTGGGCCAGGAGATAAAGCGGATAATCCGCTTCTCCGAACTGGAGGACATCAGTCGAAACGCCAATATCATTTACTTGAAGACCACAAACAATATGACCTACAACTTCACGCTGTTCTCGAATGCCAGCGAAGCCCACTTGCTGATTGAGCAGCTGAACAAAATGGCAATCCAACAGCTGATCCAGGATCCCGAGAGTCCTGTGGTCGACCACAACCCCTCGAACCTGCTTCGACTGGGTGGAAAAGCATCCAAGAAACCAGTACTCCTGCGGGACTTGACAGCGCGCCAGAAGTCGGAGGAGTTTCGCATCTATTTCCGCTTGCCGCAGTCGGAGATAATCGACGGGAGGATAAAGGCCAACATCTGGACTCCATACTCCAAGAGGTTCAATGCCGGTTACATCTACCTGTCGCCGAACTTCTTCTGCTTTCGCAGCGATGTAAAGGATTTGGTCAGTGTGGTAATACCCATGAAGACCATCAAGGTGGGTTATAGAAGATATATCTTATAGATACATGTAGTTAAATATGATTTATTGCAGAGCGTGGAGAAGAAGGACGATGGCCAGCAAAGGTTCGACAACCAAATGGTCATCATAACTTCGGAGAATGTGCCTTTCATGTTTGCTCAGATCGTGGACAGAGACGTCCTCATCTCCAAGATAACAGATCTACTCGCCCGCATTCACGTGTAAGTCATAAAACGCTTAAAATGGGTGATATCCTTCCTAATGGTTACCTTTCAGGCCTGTGAGTCGCGAGCGAGCCAAGTACGACATTTCGTGGAGCAAACAGACCGCCTTGATGAACACCTTCAAGACGCAGTTCAGCGCAGAGATCGTTCAGAAGCAGGAGGAAAAGATGAAGCGCTGGGAGTCGCATTTCCGGGACTTCGGACGCGGCATCGGCATGTTCCGCACCACGGACGTAATCAACCTGATCGTGGAGGGCATTCCCGACAAGTTGCGCCAGGAGATCTGGTTGATATTCTCGGGCGCGATCCACGACAAGGAAATGAATCCGGGTCTGTACGAGGACCTGGTGGAGAAGGCAGCCTGCATCAAGCACTGCTTCGCCCATGACGAAATCGATCGGGACTTGCCCAGATCGTTGCCGGAGCATCCGGCTTTCCAGAGCACCGACGGCATCGGAGCCCTCAGAAGAGTCCTGCAGGCGTATGCGCTGCGGAACCCACAGGTTGGCTACTGCCAGGCCATGAATATAGTTTCCTCGGTGTTCCTGCTCTTCTGCGACGAGGAGAACGCGTTCTGGATGCTCGCCAGCTTGTGCGAGAATCTGTTGCCAGACTACTACAAGGACAAGGTGGTGGGGGCCCAGATCGACCAGGGCGTACTGAATGAGCTGGTCGAAACGCACTTGCCCGACTTGCATGGCCACTTGGAGAAGCTTGGCGTGATCAAGATGATCTCCATATCCTGGTTCTTGACCATCTTCATGAGCGTCATCAGCTACGAGAGCTCGTTGCACATCCTCGACTGCTTCTTCTACGAGGGCGCCAAGATCATCTTCATGATTTCGCTGAAAATCATTGAGTGGAATCGGGACAAGCTGCTCAGGTGCGAGGACGACGGCGAGGCCATGCTGGTGCTGCAGCATTACTTGGAGGGCATCTACAACCCCGAGTACCAGGTGCCGCCTTCCACCGATAAGCGAAAAATGGAGCGCCACCAAACCCAGACCGTGCAGACGCTGATCCACGAGGCCTACACGAAGTTCGGAGAGCAAATCACCCAGCAGAGGATCGAGGAGCTGCGCAACAAGCACCGCCGACTGACCATGAGACAGTTCGACATCGACAACGAGAAGACCATCGTCAAGGCCTACATCCAGAACCCCTACTTCGATCGGAACGAGCTCCACCAGCTGCTTACGATCATCCGGGAGGAGAAGCACTCCCTTAAATCTCTGCAGCAGCAGCAGCAGAAGGCGCAGTGTCCCCTCTCTGAGATGCCGCAGCTGGTGCAACAGTCACCAAGCAAGGGCGCGCATGACTCGGGGGCTTCTGGAAGCAGGCAGGAGGCGTACTCCGTCAATTTCGAGGTGTTCCACACGCTTTTCACGGAACTAACCCCATGGAAGAAATGTGTTAGCGTGGACATCGGCGAGAAGTTGTTTAGGGTAAGCTTTTCCGGGAATGCCATCCGATCATTGCTTACATGAAGTGTTATTCCAGCTGACCGACAAGCGAGGTACTGGCTCCGTGGACTTTGGCCAGCTCATCAATGCGCTTGGCTTGGTGTGCTCCGCCAAAAGCATGGAGAAACTCAAGCTCCTGTTCGTCCTGCATTTACCCCCATTGCTTTCCAAGGCGGAGATAGAGAGGTCCCGTCGCCCACGTCCTCGCACCAAGGACGATGCTGAGGAGGCCTTCGAAGCTGAAGACTTTTTCGAGTAAGTACTAATAGGTCTTAGGTATTAGTCTAGCTTCTATTAACCCATTGACTCCAATCTTTGCAGCAATGACGCCTCTGAATCCATGGAGGCCCTGCCGTCGCCTTCGGATCACAACTTTGATGCCGACGACTTTGCCCTGATCAGTGCCACTCAGCACTTGCACAACCTGGCCGGAATTTCGGGCAACACATTCATGGACCTGTCGCGCACCACACCCAACCTCTCGCTGAACTCTAACACGTCCTCGTTGGCGCAGCGCGCCTCCACCTTTTACGTGGATCTGCCCAGTGCGGCACCCCCGGGTACTGCAACAAGCACAGATGCTGGGCGGGATGAAGATGGAACCCTCGAGAGAGGGCTTCGCCAGCAGGGCCGTTTCGAATCGATTGACACATTTTCGGATATTTCAGATCTGGGAGCGGCCCGTCTAACGCCGCCCGGAGCATCTGGAGCGGGCGTGGATGAATTGAGGAACTCAGAAATGCTTCTGAATGTCGAGACTATATCGAATTTCTCACAGATCAGTGACCTGGTGGCGGCCACACGACTCGAGCGAGCCGATTCCAATGCCACGGATTCTCGGAGCCTGGGCAGTCTTGGCTATCTGCTCGATCAGCCAGATGAAGGGGCCTCCAGTTCGCAGCACTCCATCCCACATATGCGCAAGGAGAACTTCCTGCTCCTGTGGCGCAGCATAGTGGAAATTATGGGCCTGGTTCAGGACGAGGAGATGCAAAGGGCTTGTAAGTACATTGATAGAAAGACTAGAAGGCATCATTCTAATCCTGATCTGGATTTCAGATGAGAATCTCTTGGAACTTGGAAACAGCAACATCAAGAAGGAGCCCAGTCTGGAGAGCTTCACCCAGCTGAATCTCGGAGGCAGTGGTGATGAGGCAAGCCAGTCCAGCAAGCTATTTTCATAGAAAGTTTAATAATTTATGGTCCTTATTTCAGCAACCGGATAACAATGGCAACCCCACCACTCCTGCTGCGGAGCCGGCCAGCACCACTCGCCTGTTTGTGGATCTCGAGGAGGAGCTGCGCCTGGCGAGTGGCAAGCCTAGGACAGCGACCAACAGCGGCGATAGCAGCAGCAGCAGCACAAACACCTCCGAGTCCTGGCACATTTCCATCACCCAATTCATAGCCACCGTGCTGACGGTGAACAGCATCGTCCGAGGTTTCTCTACGCCGACCCAGATCAGCGAGCAGATCGAACAGTTGCAGAAGAAGCGCCGAAAGTGTCTCTCCACCAACTACTGAACTCCCAAAGCCCCCTAACCCATAGTCCTAGCCACAAAATGTATTAGCCATATATGAGAGACCGACGGATCCCCGATCCTTGTGCAATGCGGCAAGCTTTTAACCGTACCCCTACTTGATTTATGTATATTGTATTGCCCCTATCGTAAGTTAAGACAATTGTTTGTGAATATAATTCTATTATTCCTATTATACAACGCAGTTATCTATAAATAGCGATGGATTCATGTACAATCTAATCCAGTTCTTCGGTGAGTGGCGTCTGTTACATGTCCATGGCCACCTGCTGCTGGCTGACCCTGTTGGACACCGCGTGCTGCCGCTCGTGCTCCGCCGTTCGCACCAGACACTCCTCGTAGGTCCACTTGGGGAAGACCCTCTTGTACAGATACATGAAGGCCGTGTCGTAGGAGCGCAGTTGGCCGTCGAAGTAGCACTTCATGTGGCCGTGCGTGCCCAGCGATTCCTTGATGTGTCCCAGCCGGCCGCACTTGGTCCTTAGTTTCACCGGCTTGAAGTACTCCACATCCTCCTTGTAGAAGAACATGTACCGGATTGTGGCCGACTTTCGGTTAATCCGCATGGGATGGCCGCTGAGCACGACCCTCTTCAGGACGATGCGATCGGGGTTGCAGGAGAGCAGGCGACCCCGGGCCACCAGAGCCAGTGTCGAGTCCGGATTCACCTTGAATGCCAGAATGGCGGCGGGAGGAAACTGAATCGGCGCATAGAAAGTAGCGCAGACGGTCTCATAGGGGCGGAAGTAGCGCTCGAACTGGAAGAAAAATCAAGTTGGAGGATCAGAAAATATATAAAAGGAATCCTTAAAATCCTTGCAGTTATATTGTAGGGTTTTAATTTCTATATTTTATAACAGATATGAGAATCACTAGATTAGAATAAGTCGCCTGTTTTCCATGCGATTTTTCAAAATTCCCAAAGGCAGTTGTCTTCTTCTTTCACCAAAAATTAAAAAAAATATATTTCCTCCAGATTAAGATCCATATTTACGGACAATCGATCCACAAATCGTTTAAGATACTCCTCTCAAGGATCGGATCAGTATTGACAAAAATATGGCCTTCGCAGTGGCCCATATAGGCCTCCCATGGGACTTTAGTCGTTTTCGAAGGGGATGTCCCAGAAAATTGGACAAAAAATCGAAAAAATAATTTGCACCCAGATTTTGATGCAGATTGGTGGGAAATCAATGTACAAATCTTTTAAGATACTCCCCTCAAGAATCGGATCAGTATTGGCCAAGATATGGCCTTCGCAGTGGCCCATATAGGCCTCCCATGGGACTTTCCCCATTTTCGAAGGGGATGGCCCAGAAAATTGGACAAAAAATCGAAAAAATAATTTGCATCCAGATTTTGATGCAGATCGATGGGAAATCGATCCACAAATCGTTTAAGATACTCCTCTCAAGGATCGGATCAGTATTGACAAAGATATGGCCTTCGCAGTGGCCCATATAGGCCTCCCATGGGACTTTCCCCATTTTCGAAGGGGATAGCCCAGAAAATTGGACAAAAAATCGCAAAAATAATTTGCATCCAGATTTTGATGCAGGTTGGTGGGAAATCGATCCACAAATCGTTTAAGATACTCCTCTCAAGGATCGGATCAGTATTGACAAAGATATGGCCTTCGCAGTGGCCCATATAGGCCTCCCATGGGACTTTCCCCATTTTCGAAGGGGATAGCCCAGAAAATTGGACAAAAAATCGCAAAAATAATTTGCATCCAGATTTTGATGCAGATCGATGGGAAATCGATCCACAAATCGTTTAAGATACTCCCCTCAAGAACCGGATCAGTATTGGCAAAGATATAGTTTTCGCTGGAGGCCATATGACATGTACTATATGAGTTAGATCGTCGAGGACTTCACTTAAAAATGTATATGCTACCTTATGCTTGTCCCCGTTGGTGTGCTGACTGTAAATGGGATTAACCACGAACCGCCGATAGCCACACTGGATGATGAGCTGCTCCTTGGACTTGAGAGGCACCTCCGAGTCGGGAATGCGCTGCAGGACCACGTTCATCACGCACATCTGGTGCTCGTGGGGGAGCATGCCGTAGACAATGATGTTATCGAAGAGCTGGGCGGACTTGAAGGCGAACCAGCGACTGGCGGGCACGTTAATCACATGTAGAGTGATATAGAAACCAGGCTGGAGAAAATGGGAGACCTGATTACAAGTACTTCAATAGATGGGGATGGTACTTACCAGGACACCTTCAAATTCCTTGGCCTCTGTGAGAATCCTTCGCTTGGTGCGATCAAAGTTCTTAAATTGATAGATGCGAGCATAGTCGGCAGGCAGGTTCTCCTTGGCATCCCAAGGCGATGTCCTGAAGGACTCGAGGCCACGATACTTCTGGAACCTTTCGTGGGCGGGCACGTCCAGCGGCGTATCTACCTCGTCCGGCCAGAGCTGGTCGGTCCGAGCCTGCTGCAGTTTCTGCAAAGTTTCACGCTCCTCCTGGAAGTCCATCTGCTGGTCGTACTTCTCGTCATTGATGGCCGCCTCCGATGACACAGACACGCTGTCCAGGTATTCCTCCGTGTCAGAATCGCGCTTCTCGTACTCATCCTCGAAGGACTTGTTGTCGCAGGACATGAAATCCTCGTCATCATCGTCCTCCTCATCATCTTCGTCGTCGTCGCTCATGTCATCGTCCTCCTTTGTATCTCCGTCTTCCACTTCCTCCACATCAGGGATCCAGGCGGCCTGGTATTCGCTGTAACCCTTGGGCACCCTCTTAACCAGTTTCATTTTCTTGGTCTCCTGCTGGGACGCAGCGATTTCTTCTTCGGTGGGCCACGTCTGTTCAGCGTCCATCGGGTCGGGTATGTTTTCGCTCTGCAGCGAAGTGCGCTTCAGGGGATCGCTTCGGTCCAGAAGACGAACCTCCACATTCTCACCATCCCTTGACTTGTCCAACTTATACGGATCGGGTGGCGCCACCACCTGGCCTACTTGGAAGTCGCCCAGTCCGGGTATGTGTACCAGACCGTTGACATTCAAGGACTGCCCGCGAAGAAACCCGGTGATTTCAAGAGTTCCCAAGTCGTCGGTGGGATCCGAGCTCGGTTTAAACTCCACAATATCGCCAAACAGATGCGGCCGGTTCGCCACGTTGTGCAGGATGCGCTTCTTCTGGCCGCCAATGCGACGCATCACATTCAGTCCCTCGGACGCTGTGTCCAGTTGCATGATCTTCTCTTCGGGCAGTAGCTTCGAGATAAATTTTTGGGCCGCTTGCTTGGCAGCAGTTCGCCGCTTGGGGTTGATGGACTCCAGATCCATGAGGGCCACCACTGGGGTGGGAATCCCCTGGGCGGAGATCATGTTGAACACCCGTTGGCCCCAGCGATCAAAGATCTCGTCGTCGCCAAACGCAGCCGAGGTCAGGAGCAGAGTGGTATCGCACACCTTGAGGTAGTCTAGCGCTATCAGCTCATTTCCACGTCCCACCGGAGGCGACACGAAGGCGAATCGCTGCTTGAAGCGGGGCATGTTGATGTAAACAATGCCACTGGGGGAGTTCTCGACCACCAAATCGCTATCGCAGCTTTGGAGGATCTCCAAGGCCGATTTGGGATCGATCTGCTCATGCATCGGCAGCACGCAGACCAGGAAGGGAGCTGTGTTCTGACCCCCAAGTTTCCTCTTCTGTTCCAAGACCTCCTCGCGCTTGTTCCGCCGCAGCTGGTTCATCTGGTTGCGCCTCTGCTCCTTCCGCTGCTGCTGCTTGTGCTTGTGTGAAATGGCCTGAATGCCCACTTTGCCTAAGAATTGGAGTAGATTTTAGTCCACATTTGGTGAGGTGCTCTTCGAGGCTTCCTTACCCTTCAAAGCATTGTCGATCGCTCCTTTCGATCGATGACGACCAGTTTTGTGGGCCTTGTTCTTTTGCTTCAGGGGCCCAGGCCGATGAAACGCGTGATCAGCCATAATTACAGGTGTTTAAGCTGAATAAATTCAAATGAAATTACGCTGTTTTGTTTTCAATGGCAGAGCACATGTTCCGTAAGGGTTGCCACATGGACAAAAAGAAAACATAAGCCTTGCTAGTGGTGGCACTTACAGGTGGCCTCGACTTTTCCCACTTAACAACACTGTTTCTTAGCGGTAATTTTGAATTTGAATGGTCTTTTGGAAATAAATAACTTTTTACTTGATTTAATGTTACTTCATAACACATATTTATGCATCTTTTCCCCTTTCCAAAATAAAACACCAGTTTCTTTCCTTTTTTAACCACATTCAATGTAAATATGTATTTGCTGTTTATGGTATAGACTTGATGTCTGCTTGAATATAACGCTGTTTATTTGCTAGTTTACATCCATTTTGTGATATATGTACGCGTTGGATTCCTCCTTTTGCCTAGTAGCACAGTATAGTAATAGTTTAACTGCTTTGATTATTCGCCACCCTTTGCCTTGGCGCGCTTTTCAAAAAGTCTCGATTGGGTTGGGCAGGGACTTACATAGATAAATATTAATAAATAGTAATTAACTTAGTTGCGTTGGGTATTCATAAGTGTGTATAAATAATATCGAAGGGTCTCGAACAGTTGTTTGGGGTCTTGTGGGTCTAAAACTTAACGATAGGCCATAACACTTAGCAATTAATGGTAAAACAAAATATTTTATAATAGTTGGTAAATTGAGTGATTGTTTGTCATTAATTGGATTTGGTTCCAAGCCTCGCACAAGTGCGGGTGCTCTTTGAGATTACCACTGGGTTAGGTAGGATATATATGTTCTCCTGGATACATATGTATCCCAGTAAGACGATTCCTTGGCAAAGTCCAACGGCGTGCTGGATAAATCTCAATGTTTCATGATTTTGCTGCGCTCCTTCCGCTCGTCGCTTGTTAAAGTAAATTTATGCAGTTGTATATAGATACTTGTATATATATATATATTGTTCAATATTTATGCTCAATGCCAACGGCAGACGCTCTAAAAAATTATCCGTATCGCATCCCGTTCCGCCCCGAAATTCCCATTTACATACAAAACGCTAACCATACCAAAACTCTCTCTTACTAGGGTCTTAAAAAATTGGTGCCAACTTTCCTCGTGTGCGACTTGCGTTATGTTTTCAGTTTAAGATTTTTGTTGTTTCATTAAATGCAGAAGTTGGACTCTGCTCTCTCACCACCCCAGTCCTTAGTCCTTGCCACCCAGTCCTTTGATCTGTCCGTCGGTTTATTGTTGCCCATTGTGCTCAGGATCGGGAGGATATGACTTTTGTTGGTTTCTGCTGCTACGTGGCCAATTACATGTTCCTGCACTGGGCGCACACGGAGCGCGCCTTTGTATTGTCACGCACAAAATCATGCACATTGAATTTTCCATCATCGCCGTGCTCGTAGCCGCGACTCTTCAGTTGCCTGTCGACATTAAAAAGAAGGATAATTGCTTGTAAGATGCTGCCAACGGGCAGGATACGGATGTCAAGGAGTCACCAGTGATGGTATAGGTACATATATGCTCAAAATATCTTGATATCTTTTAAACGAAAATTACTTTAAGCTTGCTTAATGAACTATGAAAATAATTTTTATCAAAATCTTTAATTGATTTTAAAAACTTATACCTTTGCCAGCACTGGTAATACTTCCTAGAACAAGTCTAAATAGGAAGACCCACCTGGCCACCGCCGTGAAGGCCAGCTCCACATTGAGTCCCGTCTTGGCCGAGGTCTCCATGAAGGGCACGTTGTGCTCCCTGCCCAGACGCTCCCCGTCCTCCCGCTTCACCTGCCGCTCGCTGCCGCTGCAGTCGGCCTTGTTACCTGAAAATAGATAGGTGGCAGGTGTGAGGTGGCCGTTGTCCCGGTTGCCAGGTTGCATGCAAAAGCAAACGTGAATTCGATTCGGAACTCGTAAGTTGATTAACCATAATCAAATGCTGCGATGGCCAAAGCTAAAGCCAGACCAAAGCCATTGCCATTGCCAAAGCAACGGCAACAACCAAAACCCTCTAACTGAATCTCTCACCTATTAAAACGATGACCACGTCCTCCTGCGCATATTCCCGGATCTCGCCCAGCCAGGCCCGTATGTTGTCGTAGGTGGTTTTGTTGGTCACATCGTAGAGCAGCAGCAGGGCTTCAGTTCAGTTCGGCGGGTCCAGCATGCAGATGATAAATTTAATTAGGATCAAAGGGAAACCAGTAGCTTAATTCACTCCCGAGCGGGATTTGTACTCGAAAGTTGTCTCTAGGTCGATATGGAAATACTCTATTAGAGTGCGATTTATTCAAACGAAAATGAACTTCAAAGGTGAAAAATAATATTAAGTGAAAGAAAATAATTTCTAATAACACAAGATTTTGTAAAGTTCCCAGAAAATCAATTGAAAAACAAAACTGAGAAGAAAATATTATCCCTACTAAGGCACAAAGACCAGTTTATTGGGAAAGCAATTGATTTTTAAGTGGACTTCCCTATAAAATAAATCCAATACTCACCGTGTGCATCGCGGTAGTAGGCATGGGTGACGCTCCGGAACCTCTCCTGTCCGGCCGTATCCCAGATCTGTAGCTTGACGCGCGTGCCATCGACAACAACAACTTTGTTCTGCGCCGATTTTGGGTGGAAATGGGTGGGATGAAAATTAACTTATTATTTTTTTTTTATAAAAAACCGTGTACGAAATGGAAATGCAATTGTTATATAAAATGCAATTAATTCACGAAATGCTCATGCATGTACACTGAATAAATGGGAGAAAAGGATGGGGAGACGGGACAACGTTGCGTATGCTTAATGCATATCACTCATACGCAACATGGGCTTTCGTGAAAACCCCAAGAAACACATGCAGATACATAAGAAGGCAAAGAAGGGGGGATGATAGGGTGGGGATATGCATAAGTACGGGCAGACAGCCATTTCCATGATGAAAGCCCAGCCAGAGTCCCCGGGATCTGGCATAATGATGAGACGTCGCCGCAGCCTCCTTGTACTTTTCCTTTTCTGTTTTCCTTTTCCGTTTTCCCGGATAATGAGCAGCAGACGGTGTAGTATCGTAAGTTTGTCCGGCCATTGGCATTCCAGTGGCCCCATGCTGTGATGCCCCCACATTGCTACTCAGACAGTCAGTCAATAGCATAAATACTGAGAAATGTATACGACATTCGGGACATTCTGCCCTAAAAGGTACAAGTACAGGTCTATGTGTGAGTGGTGTGGCGGCCTATTGCCTTGATTTGATTTCATTTTCGTGGAAAATAACATGAGTAAACAGATAAACCCAGAATGATTCTGCCACAAAGCACACCAGGTCAATGCACTGGAAATGTTATGGGGCATAATTGGGACGAAATGAAAAGAAATATTAAGGATACACTTTTGAGAAAGGGTCTTAGATTCTATCAATAATATAAATATTTAATTATCCTTCACTCACTGGCATGTGGAATATTCGTTTACTTTATACTTTGGCCGTCATCAGTTGGCCAAGAATCAGCCAAGTTGAAAAATCAACATGAACGACTCGACTCCCCATCGAATATAACTTCAGGTCATTCCCCAGTGGCTTTTCCAAACATACGAGTGTGTGGGGATTGCGGTGGAGCAGTGGCAGTGCAATCCCCCGAGGCCACAGTTAGACAATGCCAGTGCCCACATATTTAATATACATATAGCCACAGTATACTTGGCAAACATGGCAACAATTTAAAGTCTAGGAAACGCCGTCGAATGAATGGAGGGCACTTGTAGAATTTCACAGGACAGAGATAGACAGTCGGGCGGGGAGAGAGGGCGGTGGAGGTGTGGGAATAGAGACAGGTTAGCGGCAATCCCCGCTTGTAGTTTAATAAATTTATGAGCCATGAACCACAGAGGAAAAGAGGATTCAGCCGAGGAGCGCCTCGGGTCAGGGCAACTAAGCCTCTAAATGTTGAACCGCACAAGAACTCGCAATAATAAGCACAATAAAAGCAATAACAACACCGACCGAGAGTAAACAAGATACACAAACACACACAGACCCAAAGACACGCCAAGGAACATCAACAAGTCCTTTTCAAGTTCACATGCTTTTTAATAAATAGTCCCCCAAGGATCTTTATCAACAAAAACCCCAGCACGGAGAGCTTGAACAAGAACTAAACGTAAAGAGGACAACCGCAGGCAACTACGGAATCAGGAGGACCACAACAGGTCGGAGAAGGAGACAGATAGAGTAGGAGGAAGAGAGACAGAGACAGAGTCAGAAAGAGACAGAGAGAGGGAAGGAGTAGCAGGACGAAGACAAGTAGGTGAAAATCGCATTCAAAACCTTGACAACTGTTGACAGGACACACAGAGACAGAGGATAGTAGGCTACAAAGGCAGCAGGTAAGCCAGATTACACATAAACAAATAACGTTAGGAAAGTATTATTATAATTTGAATCTTAATCTTAGTTATTAGGCAAAGACAGAGAGTTAAAAAATGTAAAAATCTTATGAGTATATGGTAGGTATTTACATAGATGAAGTATGATTTATTCCCCGTGTACTAAATGATAGTCAGTTGAAGTAAACAGACATATGATGAAGGTTTAGTAGAGTAACTAAGAGAGAGATTTTGTGAATAAACTATGAGAAATAGAGATACTTATAGGGAAAGTACAACATCGACAACACCAACAATAAAACACACGGATAATGGCAACGACAACGACAACGGCAACCGAATAAAATGGAACACTTTGGATCAGAATAGAGCACACACACATATTATAGAATATATAGTATAGTTGAACGGAACTGAACAATTGGCGGGAGAAAAGCGCTTACCCTAAAATCAATGCCCACGGTGCTGAGGAAATAGCTCGGCACGTAGCGACCGTCGCGGAATCGTATCAAAAGCGAGGTCTTTCCCACTCCCGAGTCGCCCAGCATTATGACCTGGTTTTTGGGGGAATTCGTCGCCAATGAGACGTAATAAGTGTTATATACATTCTACGCAGGATATGGATGGGTGGGGAGTAGGAGTAGGGCAAGGAGTAGGGGTCCCAACCACGGTTTCAATCATTTCTTTTTCGGCATAATAATTTATGCCAGTTGCCTAATGTTTCATTCTAAATATTTAATGAGCTGCCTATGAATATTTTACACAACAGCCGGGAGGGCTAAAAGCTCTCGTTTTCCAACTCCGCCGATTGCAGGACCTTTCCCCCGAATCCTTTTGGGATTCCTGGTGCCTGGTGCGGGTAAGAGTGCTGGTGCCTCTGTTGTTGACTTTGTTGGGATACACAAAGTTAGCTAGCTTATGCAAACATTGCAATTCCTAAATTTCCAGATAAAATCCCTTATTTGCCAACTGCTAACTAAACGAATATTTTATAGGGAAAAGGGGTGTTGCGTAAAACTAACACCTACACAAGGAAAACATATTCTAAAAAAATATTCGCTTTAACTAACTGGCCTTGCGCCTTGAACGAGTTTAATCTTCCTCGGAATATCTTTATGTCAAGGTTTTGCTTTTTTAACGAGCACGGCAAATAAATGAAATCTTTATGCTCCTCCCAGGTTTTATATTTTTTATATTTCACATCTTGACTGGCACTCGCACTGGCAGCCAGCTGGCAGGAAGTCGCCGCCAGGAGTCCTGTCATAATTCTACGGAATTATTCTAATCAACAGCAGCTGCACCAGCAACTTTGCTCTCCCAACTTTCTTTTCTGGCATTGTCTGGCCATTTAATTTCCTTTGTCACTTGGCACTTTATTGAATTTTATGACTTTATTTTCGGCTGCTTATGTAAATCACATTGTAAATCAGACCAAAGCCGATCAAAGGGGCGGGACGAATAAAAAAGCCAGCCAGCCAGGCAGCCAGCCAGGCGGCTCGTAAAAAGCCTGACAGTCAAACAAAAAGGTATAATACATAAATCAAATTGCGGCCTCACGCGCAAGGACCCTGGATCCTGGGACATGTACTTGTCTCCCAGACTCTTCAAGTTGCAAATAAATACAAATATATGTTTATTTTTTGCACGCCTTTGTTGTCGCCCTTTTTGGAATGCAAATTGGCAGTTGACGAGTTGAATCGAAAAAGGGATTTATCCTTGATTTTTTAGGGGGTGTCCTTTCACAAAGAAAGGTAGTTTTCGTTTCCGATTAAACTGTGTGGGATTACAACTTACAATGACAATTATTATTTTATTTTAGAATCTCTGTAATTTAATCGAAAACGAAAACGGGAGAGCTCTCACTAATTGGAGGATCATCTGGCTTATTCACCTTGCCCATGATGTCGAAGTCCTCGTCGTCCTCCGGCGCATTGGTGGATGAAATCATGCGGATTAGGGCTCGTCCTGCATTCTTGCAGAGCGTGGCGCTGGCTCCTTCGGCCCCGGGTCCTGGGGCGGGAGCTGCAGAGGCTGTTGGGCCTGCCGGGCCACCACCTCCTCCGCCAGTGTCCAGGAGCGGCTGTTGCTCCGTTCCAGCTGCCAGGCGGACGCTGTTCAGACGAGCCATGAAACCATTGCCAGCGCTCTGTGGCTGCTGGGAGGACGTCTGTGGGGCTGGGTCCGGAGCACTGCGGAACAGGTAACCAGAGCTCATGTACTCCGGCAGCAGGGGCTGCTGGGAGATGGACTGCTGGCGCTGGTGAACGATCACGCTGGGCCGCCGCTTCGGGTAGCCGTCGTCGTCCGAGTCATCCGAAGCTATGCCGTTGATCTTGTCCAGCGTCTTGGGCGGCAATTGGCCCGGGGTTATGTGCTGCCAGGTGGGCTTAACCAGGGACTCCCTCCGAGTGGGTGAACCGCTGGAGAGCGGCGATGGGGCACTGGCCATCGAAATGGAGGGCTTCCGCACGCCCGACGGGCTGGCGATGGAATCGCTCCGGTAACGAGTCTGCTGACGCCGCATCTTTGAAACCTCTTCTCTGTCTCGTCCTGGTCTTGATTGGCCTGATTCTATATTTAACACACGCACATACATAAATCAATAATCTCAGCTCAGATGTCGGAAATTCGGCAGTGTCTTCATTATTGATGGGCCACCCCAGCCCCCAGTTTCAACCCCCAGAGGAATAAAAAGACTCCAAGAAGTTTTCTCGGGCTCCGGATACACACTCAAACCCAAACATTCTTGTGAGTACAGACCCATAACCATAATTATGTACAGCCAGCTCCGAATAAGTCATTAAAACTCATTAAAAACCATAAACAAGACGCAAACTTTCATTATCAACGCAGTTTCGGGAGTGTCCTTTAATAAATACAGCATCCAAAAAAAAATATGGACGCTTTTCAAATAAAACAATGAGCGAACAGGTGCAAATTGTACGGAATTTCTTTCGCCTCGCGACTTCTCTTTTATTTTTGGCGAAATGAAATGAAAACCGAAACCCACAAACGCTTCAGGGCCGAACAACAACTGTTGTTGACAACAAACGAAAGGGGGCGCAGCTTTGGCAGGGGGGGCGGGGCGGGGCTGGCAGAAAAGGCGGCGTGTTATTCCGCGGTCGGGGGTTCTTGTGGTTGCTGTCGCTAAATCAACAGTTGGCAAGTTAACCACAGGCCGCAGGACGAAAGCGAAGGCATCGGACCGAAACTGTGGCTAACTAAATTTTTGG